GTCCTACTGCTCTACTGCAACCACATGACCATTGTACACACTCTCTCTCTCTCTCTCTTTGCATTGAACCATTGTACACTCAATTGTACAGGCTGCTCTCCATCTGAATCTCTGATGTAGGAGTGCTCCAACATCAAATGGTGTACTGATTTCCCAGATAAGCACACTGCATGGTCTAATTATCATCATCAGTGTGTAATATAATTACTAATTGAACGTTTTAAGCAGCTCTACGGTGCAATGCCACTGGCCTATTTCCTAGCATGATGCATCAGTGTGCATGTGTGCATGGGTACAACGCAAGATAGGCTGTCTCTTGCGCGCAAAGGGACATGGCATGAGCCTGGCCACCTGGGCTGCCACATGGAACGGAGTACCCGTCCCCAACATGCCATTTAACTATGTCTGAGGAAGTAATTGTCTGGTACCCCTACCACAGGCCCCCAACTCCTAACCAACATTCAACTAAATTTCGGATAACATGTAGGGAATCCGGTATATAAAAAACCAAATCTAGCTCTAGCCAGTTTGATATGTTTCCTCCTGGGTAGCGTACGTACGTGCCGTCAAGCCTTGGTCTTCGACTCCAAATTCTTCAGTTCCGAGGAACAACTGTGCAGTAAGATATTGTATATACTCCTTGGAGCCCATGCGTCTCAGGTGCGCCGAATCGCGCATAGGATCCTCTCGCAGGCAGCGGATCCGCCAAAAAGCTGCGTCAATCACCGGCGGAACGGCTGAATCTACATATCTCCCCCCGCTTCTCCACATGGTAGTCTGCACTGCGACGATCGTATCGCGGTAATCATCAGTGTATCTGTACTACAACGGACGCGCTGTGTCTACCAGTAAAACCGAGCGCTACTATGATTGGCACAGCGACTTGGGTGATGTTCAGCTGGTGACTGATGATTAGCATCCATGGAGTGAAATTACGTACCTTCCTTATGATACTGACAGCATTATTTTTCCCCGTGCAGACTTGCTTTGCCCTGCCCCCTCTCCCTGAGCAACATCAAGCCTATCCCGGATAGAATAAGGAGAGGCTATTGTTTAATCTCATAATCTTGCCTCTAGAGCGAGTAATTTTGAGTTCAGTCGATTTTCAACCTCAGCTTTGTAGACTTTGAATTTTTTCAAAGCTTCCGACCGGTCATGTATGTGATAAATATACCCATAGCGGGAAAAGTCGTCTGTGAATGTAATTGTTGCCGTATAATGTGTTGTCTAGTCTTTTCCATCATATCGGTTTTTTGATTGCATCGGCTAGACCATGCACTTCTTCATGGTATCAGAGCCAAAAAGTCTTGAGTTCAAGATCTGGCTGGCGCAATTAAATTACAGCCCATTTTTGGTCAACGTTTAGGCCTGAGGGAGCCACAATGAGGGGAGTGTTGACGTATAATGTGTTGCATAGTCTCTTCCATCAGATCGGTCTTTTGGTTGCATTGGCTAGAGCATGCACTTCTATATGGTATCGGAGCCAAGAGGTCTTGAGTTCAAGACCCGGCTGGCGCAATTAAAATTGCAGCCCACTTTCTCGGTCCACATTTAGACCTGAGGAAGCCACACGTGAGGGGGAGTGTTGACGTATAATATGCTGCCTAGTCTCTTACATCAGATCGGTTTTTTGGTTGCATTGGCTAGAGCATGCACTTCTATATGGTATCGGAGCCAAGAGGTCTTGAGTTCAAGACTTGGCTGGCGCAATTAAAATTGCAGCCCACTTTCTCGGTCCACATTTAGACCTGAGCAAGCCACACGTGAGGGGGAGTGTTGACGTATAATATGCTGCCTAGTCTCTTACATCAGATCGGTCTTTTGGTTGCATCGACTAGAGCATGTACTTCTTCAGTAATGAATGAATCAAAACCATCCACGACATAACATTAAGGGGTCCACATATGTAGGTATGAATTAATTCTAAAACCCCCGTGACTCTTACTCCTCCTTTCTTAATTGTTTTTGTGAATTTTCCTTTCAATGCAATTGACACATTTTTCTGCATCCAAGAAGTCTAATGGGAGGAGTGTTTCATTTTTAACTAAGCGTTCCACCCCCCCCCCTCTTAGAAATGTGCCCCAAATGACAATGCTACAATTTTGAAGAATTACAAACTCCTTTTCATTTCTTCTCAACATTAAGTTCATCACTCACATGCATAACTAAATCATTATTAAGAGATAACATGTATAGTTGGTCGCCTAACACCGAGGCCTACATTCTTATCACATTTGTTCAAAGCAAACTATTTGTTGCCAAAATGGCACTCATACATATCATCATCTAATCGAGAAACTAAAATCAAATTCCTACTTAAGGTAGGCACATAAATAACATTATTCAATCTAAGAGTGTGCCGGTGTATGGCTCCAATGTGAGAGATCTCACAGCTTCAACATCGGCTTCAACTTCGTTTGCAACCTTAAGCTTTCTTGTTCCTCCTCTTATAGTTTGGATCGTATCGAATCCCTGAATAGAGTTAGCAACGTGAGTGGTTGCACCTGAATCAATCCACCATGACTTTATTGAAAAATCGACATAAAGAGCATCATCTACAAAAATTATTTCATCGGCACCTCTTTTGTTCATCCATTTTAGAAAGCGTGGGCAATCCCTTTGGTAGTGTCCCTCCTGCATGCAGAAGATACAAGCATTTTCTCCAGTAGTGGAGCTGCTAGGAGGAGAAGAAGAGTTGCCGACTTCTTTACCCTTGAATGGCTTAGGATTGAATGGCTTAGGGCCTTCTTTCTTGAATTGCTTTT